AGTCTTTTGGTAGTTTGTGTCTGTCAAGGAATTGTTCCACATGTTCTAAGTTGCAGAATGTTTGGGCATAAAGTTGTTTATGGTACAATCATGTGCCATGTCGTGATGTTTTGGTCAATGATGGATTGCATATATGATGGTGGCCCCATAAGATTAGTACCATATAGCCTAGGTGTGTAGTAGGCTACACCATCTAGGTTTGTGTAAGTACACTATAATGTTCGCACGATAATGAAATTGCTTAATGATGCATTTTTCAGGACACATCCCCATCATTCAGTGACACATGACTCTATTCTCTTATTTCTTTAATGGCAGTGGAGTCTGGAGGGATATATGCTACTATTGTGTGGTGAAATGCTCTATAAATATCCATTAGGTCTAATTGGTTGATAGCATTGTTCGGGTCTTCTACATTCTCATTTATTTTCTGTCTACTTGTTCTGGTAATTACTAGGAAAGGAGTCTCGAAGTTTCTAACTATAATTGTGGATTTGTCTGTATCTCATTTCACTTGTATCAGATTTTGCCTCATGTATTTGAAGCTCTGTTATTAGGTGTACACACATTTAGGAGTCATGTCTTTTTGGAGAATCGATATCTTTAACATCGTGTAACGTTCCACTTTATCCTTGATAACGTTCCTTTTTCTTAGGTTTACTTTGCCTTTTATTAATATAGCTGCTCCAACTTTCTTTCCACTAATACTTACATGGTAAATTATTATTCATTTCACTTTTTACTTACTTGTGTTTTTACATATAAAGCTTGTTTCTTGTAGACAATATATAGATGGATCTTGCTTTTATCTGAAACCTGATTATTTCTGTCTTTTAATTGGTCTGTTTAGTTAATTATAATTTAATATAAATATTAATATGGTTGAATCACATCTGCCATCTTCCATTTGTTCCATTTGTTTTCCATTTGTTCCTTGTTCTTTTTTCTTCTTTGTCTGCTTAGCTTTCAGTTAATTAAGCATTTTTATGGTTCATATTTATCTTTTTCTATTTACTTTTGTATTACCCTTTTTTACCTAATCTGAACTCTCTTGGCATTTACTGTCATTGTGTTCTATCATTTTTACTACCCATTCATACTGCCACCCCACTAGTATATTCATCTCTTATCTGTATTACTACTAACAGCTGCTTATGGGATTTCCCTGTCTTTAGTCTTGTCTTCTCCAGTTATCTCTGATGGCAGATTCATACAAGGATGTAGGATTAATATAAGGATGTAGTCCATTATGTGCGGGGGAATGTAATTTTTTAAATTAATTTTCTCATTCACAATAATCAAATGTTGATTGAGTACCTCCTATAGACCAGCCACTGTGCCACGCTCTGGGATTGCAGTGCACAGACAGGGTTTCTGCCCTCATTGACCTCATGGGTGCCAATGTCATCTCACCAAAGAGATCTCCCCTGGCCACCCTAGACTAGCACTCCACTTCTGTGCACTTTCCTTTCTCTACTTTCTTGACATATTGTACACTGATTTTTTCCATTCATTTACTATCTTCCCCTTCTAAAACATAGACATCAAGATTGCTGGAAACTTAAGTCTATTTTGTTCATTGCTATATCCCAATGCCACAACAGTGCCTCGTACATGGTAGACCCTTTATAAATATTTTTGAATTAAACAATAAGTCCTCGTTTTGGGAAAATAAACAAGAATAAAAATTCTCTTAAAAGAATAATAGTTGTAGATTTCAGGTAAGTACTAGGAAGAAAATAAGCAGAATTCCCCATAAGACAGTAACTGAAGCAGCCCCCTACTTTTAGATGGTGGTTGTAGAGAGCCTCTTTTAAGCTGAGACTTGGACCAGGAAAAAGACCCAGCCATATAAACAACATGAGACAGAACATTCTAAGAAAGTGAAGCAATTTGTCCAAATTCCTCAAGTGAGAAAGTGCTTTGCATGCTCAAGCAATAAAAAGAGGTCACTGCTGCTGGAAGGTGGAGTGTGACACACATGATGAGGCTCATCATGGGAAGGAATTTAGATTTTATTGTAGTCATTGAGAAAGCTAGTGACAATAATATTTCTTGATTATACATGTCCAGCATGTAATTAAGTGTATATTAAATATCTGCCTTTCCTGCCACAAGCTCCATGAGGGCAAAGAGCACATCTCATTTACTCTGAGTGCTCATGTCTTAAGCAATACGTGGTATATGGCTAGCACTTATAAAATAGATTGATTGTGTGAAGGCCTGGGATCTACCTCATTAACAACATTATTTTTCATTGCCCACCTTAGTAAACACTTCAATAGGACCTGAATATATAGTCTCAAATGTTATGTTGACTCTGTAAATATCATTCTGTAAAGTCTTTGCATGGTTAAAGATTTGTTAGCTAGATACAATACACTTTTCTTTTTTGTTTGTTTACTTTTTTTCCTCTAAAATGGAAAATTAGGATTAATAGGTAGAAATGTGCTCTTTGGCATTTTATGAGCTCCCCAGTTTCCTTTGATTGGAAGTATTCAAGCAAGTCTGATTCACAATTTATGTTATTCAAAAGAAAATATTCTTATATTGGAAGAGTTTGTACTACTAGAGAACATCAACATTCCCTACAAACAGAAGATTTGAGTCTTTCATGGCTATTATCATAAATACCTTTCTAAGACCTAATGAACAATTCACCATAGGTTGCTTGGATAAAAAGTAATTTTATCTTGCTTTAGTAGCTCCTAACTTAGTTTTTGACCTTGAAAAGATACACTTTCAGCCTCTGGTTGCACTAATGTTCTACCTGCAGTCAATAGAAATACCAATAAACATTTTGTAAATAAAACAAGTATGCAAATACTTAACCATAATAGTAAAAAATTAGATACATAGGTGAATGTGAAATAGAGGGTATGGAAATCCATCATTAGACCAAAGTGTTTCTTTTACTATATAGTCATGCACTGCCTAATGACATTTCAGTCAACAATGGACTACGTATACAATGGTGGTCCCATAAGATTAGTATCATACAGCTTACTTGTGTAGTAGGCTATACTATTTAGGTATGTGTAAGTACACTCTGTGATGTTCACACAAGGGTGAAATAGTCTAATGACACATTTCTCAGAATGTAACCCTGTCATTAAGCGACATATGACTGTAATTGAATCCATCCTAATGTATCCCGAGTGCTCTCCCTGGGTTATTTTTGGAAAAGAAAGATTAAAATTTTGTAGGCTCTAGTCTTCTGAGAATTCTTATCTTAATGGAGCTATACATCAAATTACATATGGTAATGAGCTTCTCATTTTCTGATTTTTTTTAGAAAGAATTTGCAAAAATCATAATAAAAGTAAGTGTAAAATAACCAGATTTATATTCATATTCTGTATGCAAACCTCAAGTTTTACCAGAATTACAATATTTGGGATCAGCAGGACTGTTTTTTATTTTCTCAGTCGTAAATACGATTGTTGAATAATTTTTTGTCCCCTTCCCTGACAGAAGAACTTAAAGTAATTTTGTACTGATGGTTTCATAGTCAGCTTTGCATTGTTAGCTCTTTCTATCTCCTTTACTGCTGCTCTTCCTTTTTCTTATTCCATGTAAATGTTAGTTTTCTAACTGCAGACGAAAATAAGCATGACATTAATCACAGCCTAATGAGCAACCCAAAGAACCTTACTGAATAAAGTAGCTTGAAGTAGCTTGAAGACACCCAGATTTCTATATAAAGTAGGCTTATTTAAATATCACCACAAAGAAGTGCTCTTTACAAGCTAAAAATGTTCAGAAGGTTGCTGTGGTTTAGTTTATTCCCTGAATTTGAGGCACATTAATGCCTATGAGAAATACGCCAAAGCTCAATAGAAATGAATCTCATTAGTATTAAATACAGCAATTAATTTATGTTGTTATTTATTGGTCAATTATATTAGAAATTATAGTGTTTAACAGAGGACAATCAGGTTTCCAAGAGCTATAATTTTGCGTGCAGTGGATAGGAGACAGATAGACTCAGTGCTCACAACAGTAGCATCCACTGTGTTTCCTCCGTCCTCTTCTAAATATACCTAACTTTATAATAAGAAATGTCACGCTAAACTACGCTTTCTCAAATTTTGCACTGGAGTTCAGTGATTTAGAGTAATTTCTAATCTTCCTCCTCATGCTTTTTTTCCTTTCCCCTTATCTGAGACTATATGTGCAATAACCTGTGTTTCTTAGAAGGTCTAAATTTTGTTTAAATCTTTTTCATAATGAATTTACAAAATATATTGAATTTTTTACTTTGAGGAACTATACGATGGTGATATATGTTTATACAGGTTCTTATTCATCACAAATCAAATTTCATAACCTTTAAACACAACACTGCATTATATGTTGATAAAAATGATATAGCAATGACTTCTGAATTGTCTCTCAACCTATAGGAATCCTAATCAGTCTTTAATGTCCTGTGCATGCATATATTAACTCTTCCAAGAATTCTTTCTGATTTTCCTATCCAGGAATAACCTTTTCCTCTGTTCAACTTCCATAGGATTATGTTTAGATTTCTTTGATGGAATTTACTACATTCTGTCTTTTAGTATGATTTTGAAACCAGCCAGAAAAATTAGACTGGTTGTGTATTTGGCAATAATGGTCATCATAGTAAAGCAGCTTATATCACTAAGATTCTGGAAGATTTCAAAATAATTTGGTTAAAATATAAATGTCGTACTTTATAGAGTTTTGACACTTCCAAATTTATTTATTGTTATTTTGAGAGGTGAAATCAGGGAGAACGGGGCAGATTTAAAAGGGACGTTTTCCCAGAGTGTATGATACTCCTTCATGGGAGAGAAGGAACAGGTGACAGAATGTGTGTAAGGGTACGTGCTTGGGGTAGGAGGACATCACCACCACCAAGAGGCCACCTGAGAGGTCCTGAGAGAAGAAGACCCCTAAATGAAGGCAAGAAGTGAGTACAGAAAGTGATAATGACATAGAGAACATTCTAATCACACCTCACAATTAAACCCTGACTGGCTCTAACAAAGAGGAGGCTTACCTGCTTTCTGTGCCTACAGAAGACCAGACCAGGTAATAGGAAACAAGCTCATCTTACTTTAAGGCATGGATATGTTGCTTGGTCATAAGAAAAACTCTTCTCTGTGAGAGTACACATCAAAATGGGATATTGGGAAATTTTGATATTTTACGCTCAAGACACTTTTAAGGAAGGAATCACAGACTATATTCTCTGGATTGTTTCATGTCTTTGCAATTCCTTATTATAGAGAATAGCATGAGACAAGTTCTTAATTTCTTTTTCAGATATCTAACTTTGCAAGGAAGAGCAAAATTATAACCTTAGGATAAGGAATTTCTTTTTTGGGTGTATATGAAGGCTATGGTTTTAGGAAATCACTATCCAGTGCTAGCATTAATCTTTTCGGCACCATGTGGGCCACAGGCTTAAAGTGATCCTAACTTCAATCCTCATTTGCTGGTAGGGTGAATGACAGAGAAAAATGATGCTAATGCTAGAGTAACCAGTATACCCAGGCACACATGTGCTGTTGGTCTATCAATTAATTCCCATGTTACGCCAGGCTAGTGTGTTGGCCATGGTGATTTCTGTACAATGACCTGATGTCAAGCTGATCACATTGATGATACCGTGTGATGGCATTCTGTCATCCTGTATTTTCTTTCTCTCCCTTTCTTTCACCTTCCTCTGCTCCTTCTCTTCTTTTCCTTCAACAAATGCTGAATAATATCATGATCTAAAGTGTGCATTAGGGATGTATTGGAAATCATATACAGTTCTTTTCCTGGGGAAGCAAAATATCGGGGTTGCAACAATGCATCTCAATCATCTCTAAATGGTCTCATCCAGAATTGGGCCCTTAATAATAAAATAGCTATAATTTTTTGAGTGCTTTCCATTCTCCCAGGTCTTTAGATATCAGTTAATTTCTTCAACAGCACTATGAAGTAGAACTTATGATCTCTGGGTTTAGAAGAGGAAATTGAAGCTCCGGGAGGTTCAGTAACTTGCCCAATATTTCACAGTTTAGAGACTGTTAAAGCCAGGCTTTACATTCTGCTCAAATTGACCTCAAGGAAGGTGCTTTAATACAATACGGCCAATTAGATGTTGTTTTATAATCTCAGATTTTGTTTTCATAATAGTATCAAAAATCAACCATAATTCACCATGTCCATATTTACTTGGGAGTTTGGGTATATTATTTGGGAAAGAGAAAAATGGAAATAGAAATGGAAAAGTTCTTTTTTATTTACTATCTCACTTGACCATGGCATCAGGTTTAAGTAGGAACTTTGTCTTATCTACTTCTACTACCCCATCCTGTAGAACTCAATACATATTTGTTGAATGGATAAATTAATGAGAAGCTATCTATGAGATAGGTATCATTCTTCCCATTTTGTAGATGAGAAAACTGAGGTTTGGAGAAATTAAATAATTTGCCTAAAAATCATAGTGCTACTAAGTGGCAGAAAAGGAGTTTTGATTCAGATCTGTTAGAGTCTAACATTTTGTGGATTAGCCATTAGATAATAGCACTTTTCCCCAAATCATCATTGCTTTAAAGACTTTAGATTGACAACTGATTTTATAACAGGTGAAAAATAAAATAACATTTTAAATGCTTTCCCCCCAGCAGTCTAAAACAGTGCGCTCAAAGTGCCTGATGGAACTGATTATTTCTCAGTTCACACTGGGATAGGGAGTTTCAGCCAGATGGAGATTAACTGCATCACCAAACACTCTGTTTTGTACAGCTGAAATTTTTTCATAACCAGACTTTTTAAATGAAGGAATCATGTTGATCCACATTCTGGTACAAGTTCTTTATCTCATTGCCATGCGCTGGGGATAATGGTTCAAGGACAGGCATGGATCCTGGCTCTTACTTTTAGTAATCCTGAGTCATGGCCCCATCCTAGAATCTGAAGGCGTTCTGCACGCACATGTAATTTTGAAAAGAACTGGTATAGAGGATATTTTCAAGTGCACTTTTTCATAAACATCAGGAAAAGCTACCAAAAGAAGATTTTTGGATCTTCTTTTTTGACATTCCACATTTAGGCACAGTCTTTGAAGATGTCCAATAAATAATCACACAAGAATGATGCTTTAAAATGTAAAAGACATTCATATACACAAATTCCTTTGATTCCGAAAATGATCCTATTTCTATTATAGACACGAGGTAATTTAGGTTTAGTGAAATTAAGAACTTTCCCCAAACCACAAGCTAGTAGAGTCTACAGTCGGAATTTATTCTCAGCTTTCTTGGGTCCATTTTCTCAATTAATTCCCTTGTGATTCTTTTTGTTTGTTTTCCCTCCTTTGGAATGAGAGAGATTCACCACAGTAGACATCCAATATGGGTGTGTTTCGGATGAAATTATAGATTTCACTTCACAACATGTTTTGTGAAATATTTATTTGACTTTTATTGTTATATTTTGAAATACACTTAACTGTACGGTCATGCAGTCACTTAACGAAGTGCATACATTCCGAGAAATGCGTTGTTAGGGGATTATGCCACTATGTGAACATCATAGAGTGCACTTACACAAACCTAGATGGTATAGCCTACTAAACACCTAGGCTAAATGGTACTAATCTTACAGGGCCACCATTGTATGTGTGGTCCATTGTTAACTGAAACATCGTTATGCCGTGCATGAGTGTGTATATATTCAATTTGTGAGGCAATTGGTAGAAATGCTATAATACTCAAAATTTCAAAGTCTAACCTTTGCTCAGCGGACAGAGAAAAATATGAGTTCAATTATTTTGCAAATGAACATCTTGCAACATATAAACAGCCCAAAGCACATTACATCACAATGTGCTAATAAAAAATAATTAAAACAAGGAAATAAAATGTCACAAGTAACAAAATGTACCCAAGAACCAATAAAAAAGATGTAAATGAGATTCCCCAGAGAAAAATGTGCTGACTTGGGCCTTTGCAGGTCATTTTTCTAGATGGTGAAGTCTATAAAGAAGGTAAAATTTGAATGAGAAATTGGCTTAGGATTCACAGTATTGAAGACCATTTGCTGACATCTGCTCAGCACTATGTCTCAGGTTTTTTTTTTTTTTCATTTTATGTCATCTGTTTCTCATTCTGTGTATAGAATGAAAACAAACACCCGTACATCAAAGGATGTCATTTAATAGTAATGCAATTCTACATAGAAGAGGCAGCTATAGAGACATTACATGGGCATTTTTCTCATTCTTATAGTTCATCACAAATCTTCATACTGAAATCAGAAAATATGTGGGAAAGATCAAAAGCCCAAGCTGTCATAGATGTTTCTCAAACAAGAAAATATTGACATTATACTGTGGAAATTATATGTATTTTTGAGAGCAGAATTGACAAACTGAATCTCACAGGTGCATCTGAGGGTAAATCCAATTGAGTTAGAGCTGCCATTCCCCACTAACTGTAAACACTGTGGAACTGGAACACAACAGTCACAGAAATGCAATGAACACAGGTGACATCACTCAGGTGAATGAATGATTACAATTATCCTGTTCAAAACGATAGTCACACATTGTGGTGACTCTTTTCTGTAAGTCACAGGTGATCCAGAGTACCCCCAGCTAGGCTCAGATAAGGCTTTGGATGGTCGGTGGCAGTGTTGAGTGGGCTAGATTATTTTCCCTGAGTATGACTCCTGTTGTCACTGAAGTCCTGGGGTCTGACAAGTAGCACAGGAAATACTGAGTATTGAGAAGTATTCTCAACAGAAGTATCGAGAAATAGAGTAGTATGCAAAAGCTTGCATTTTTCTCTGGTATGCTGCTAATGACAGAAGGAGGTAAGGAGATAAGATAAGCCAAAGGTAAGAGGCATCCTACATGTATGTGGAGATGATTGGCAGCCCTAATCGCCAAAATAATAGAAATGACTATTGATATTTATTCTGTTCCATTAAATGTGTGAGAAGATTTACTTAAATTATGATTAATTTTTCATACAAAGTCTCTGAAGTAGGTATTACTTAAGAGATAAGGATGAAATACTGTTTACAGTACCCAGCTGTAAATAGAACTAAGATTCAAACTGCAGGGAGAGTATTGATCTCGAGGTCCAGTGACTTCTGCTTACTTTATTTTTCCTCTTTCTTCTACATGAAGACGTGCTACTGGCAAAGTACCGTACACACATTGAATCAATTTTCTAGATTTTTTGCTCTGTCTTCTCTGACTTGCCAAATGAGTTTGGGAATGACTAGCCAAAGTTAAGGTACAGACTGTAGGCATAGGCGGGAACAAAGCAAATGAACCCAAGCAGAGATTCAACTGAGAGCATGCTTCTTGTTCCACTCCTCTCTTGTGCCTCATTTTGCACTTTTCAAAGGCTGATGCCCTAGATGACTCTTCCCTTTTTCTCCCATTCAGCCGTTCTCACTGGATCTATTGCTGGACCCTTAATATTCGGTTAATCTGGTCAAATCTTTTCCTCAACATCTAGAAAAATAAAATAGTGACATCAATTTCCTTTGTGGGTAATTAGGAGAAACGAATTGGAAATTAAGAATGAAATGTATTTCCTATGAGAAGGATTTTAGGGAAAAACAGAACAGATCTGTTCCGTTAAATTTTCTGCAGGAAGAGCATCTATATGGTGCAAATAATTTACACTTGTTGCTGTCTCGGAGTTTTGTTTGGTGGCTTACAGACACGTTATTCACGTAGCCAGAATCCCCTGGTAGAGATATATTTTTTAATCCTTTTGACCAGACTAGATGGAGCCTGTAAAATTGACACAGGTAATCTTTTTTATTTAGATAAGTCATCAACTGGTAAATAGGCTGTAATGATGTCTATCCCAATCTGCCTGCCATTCAATATGCAATTAGTTGCCTTATTCACCAACCACATCTATATAATTTGATATTCTAAGAACATAGTTTATATTATTGTTGCTATGTTTTAGTTATTTTCATTAACTAGTTTTCTCTCATATATACTTGTATATGTATCTTCATACTGTACAGAAAACCAGCCATCTTTCCTTGAGGCAAATCAGGAAGAT